TATGGTTTTAAAAAGTTTTTTAAAGTGCAGTTTTCATTACAACGAATAAAATTTATTGAAAAATAATTAAAAGTAACAGTGTGACGATTAGATATTCTTGGTGTAAAAGAAAAAAAATACGATTTGCGATGATCTCAAAATAAAAATCTTCGTATGTAATGCAAAATCGGAAGAGTAATCTGCGCTAAACTTCGTCGCTATGCCCAATTATTAAGTTATAACAATAATAGTAACTTTTATCTTATCACTACTATAGTAATTTTAAATTTTTTACGAAAAACCATTCCTTAATGTCCACTTGCAGAACACGCATATTTAGTTAGGTAAAAACAGAGCTAAGTAGCTTAATGGGTCGATTACGGATAGCAACGCAACTGGAAAGAAAATTTGTATTACGATTGGCCACTATCGTCAGTTGCTGTAGAGTTATCGATAATCGAAATTTGACAGTTCGACAACCGGCAAGTGGTTGTAAACAAGCTGTGCTAGTAAAATGAAATTATTAAAATAAAGTCAGCAATAATGCTAAGTTCAGTACAACCGTTTGTTTAAAAGGAATGGAAGTGCATGAACGCGGCCTCAAGCTGGCGACATTTAAAGGATTATTCCAACTACCGCCAGCCACTGCCCGCACTGTAAGCAAAAGTTAATGCTTTCAAGGTTTTTCTTTTATTATCTTTTTGTGTTCACATTCAAAGCATATTCCAGACTTCCAAAAGAAAGTGTAGTATATTCGGTTAATAAACAGAGAAACGACTTCGTTCAACTTCAATACCTCCGCTCCTAAAAGAGTGCACACCGCTTCGGTTTTTCTCAGACGGAAGTCCAACAGCAATCACATCGGGAAATTTGGAATGTCGGTAGTTTCCCAGTAGATAATTTGAGGAGTTAAAAGCCTGAGAATCAAGAGGCCTTCCACTCTACATTCCTTTCTCCTTTCTTTTTTGTATGGAGTGGCACAAATTGAAGGCCTTCCTCTTTCGCTACCCACAGAAGGCCTTTCAGAAGGGCTTTTATAGGACGTGCTTCAGAAGGCCTTTTGGGGGAGTTCTTTTAAAGTTGCTTCTTCAATTTATAAAATTTATACATCTATGAAGTATTTGCTTAAGATTTATATCAAATTTGTGTTATTGCAACTTAAAAGGTTTATTAAAATTAATTTGTAATGCTAAATAATATAAATTTATGCATTCGCGTAAATTGTAAATGGATAAGCCCTTCTAGAAGGCATGCAAGGAAGAACTTTTTCAGCCCTTCTTGGGTGGGCCCTCTTGAATGGCTTCACTTAAGAAGGCCTACCTAAATTATCTTCTGGGTTCAAAAGAGGTGCTTCAGTTGATAGAGGAAAAAACTTTACACCAGTTTGCTTTTGATTCACCAAAAGCACATTCACCACGAAAACTAAAAATTTCAAATTTTAAATTTTCGCTCCTACATACATATGCTCCAAAAACCTTCACAGCAACCACAAAAATGTAGTTGCCCGTATACACACTTTGTAGCAACTCCAGTTGCCAGTTGCCATCTGTAATATCGTTTCGGCAACTGGCCGTCGATAATCGACCCATAAAGTTAATTCCTTTGTATTTCGATAAGGTAACCCGAAGGCGACTGGCGTCAGTCAATAGATTTTTATTTTTAGATTACTTTTTCGATGAAGAATAATCTTTAAAACTTTATTTTGATTTTTTTTTTTTGGTGAAATTAAATCGTTTGTGAGATTTGTTGAATTACCGTTATAAATATTTAATGATCTAAAAAACCTAACCTAAAAATAACGGTTATAATATGAAAAAAATACGATTAGAAGTTTATCAAGAAAAATAAAAATACCAAAAACTTATTATTCATGATAGAAAAAATAAAAATCATAAGATAAAAATCGGAAAATTAGAAATCCAATTTTAACGGTTAAATTATATGTACATCATTTTTTATTATAAATATCATAACCGTTGCGGTCCGTTTTCAAGATATTAAATATTCTCACAGTTGATTGCATGCTAGATTTCTTACCTTTTTTTTTAAGTATTTTCTATAATCGGCAAATATTTAAGGTCATAAGTCGCACTCTTGTATATTCCATTTGTAGGTTTTCCATTTTTTTTATTTAATTACATACGTAATTTATCCGCAATTTGAAATGGCGACCGAGAACGCCTTCTACGGTACGCTCAAGAACGTTCTCAAGAAGAATAGAATGAACTTTGGGAGATGTTTCCAAGGAGGATCAAATAAGATCATAACGAGAACAAAACTTATGAGAACTTATCGTTCAGAACAAGAGGGGTACCTGCGATTGTTATTTCTAAGGAAGTCTGTATCATTTCAACATTCAGATCGTTTATCATCATTCATCATCATCGTTCCATTTATGGAACAATTTTTCATTTTATGTGCAAGAAAAGTTCGTGTCTTAAGTCTTTCGTTGACTTAATTTGCATACATAATGAACTTTCAGTTCTTTTTTAATTAGTTTTATTATTATTTAAACATTTCAAACTAATGCAGCGCTACAAAAGAAAATTTTTTTTTTCGCTTCCATTCTTCGAAAATAATTCTGACAAGATTTGTTCCTGGTTCGGTCTCTGTCATAACGTTCCTGTGACTTTAGTTCCAAAATTGTTCTTGGAGAGAAAGTTTCTTAAACTTTTGTTCACTGCCAGAATGTTTCGGTGAGTTTTGTTCCCGTTTTGTTCTCTTAAAAAAATTCCCGAAGTATTGTTCGGATGTTGTTCGCCTGGGGAATGTTCCCCAGGGTTTTGTTCGTCACTTTCGTTCTTGTAAAAAGACTCGCGAAATTTTTGTTCTTTTGTTCTCGTTTCGGTTTTGGTTGCAACTTAGGAATAAAACAACGAGAACGAGATTTAGTTTCGTGCATACCTTTGGTTTTCTGTCCCTATTTAAAATTGGTTCTTAAAACAGCAGGTTGCTTGCTGTGAGTTAGCCCACCAAAAAAGCTGGTTTCTCAGTTGCTCTAGTCGCTTTTAGAGTACTATGAAACAATAAAGTATTTAGAGTAAATTCCTTTCCACCGCACTTTCACTTTGCGAATACATATTAACATCGCGCGATTGGCACATGTTCTCAATATCCTTAGCAATGAGACAAGACCAAGCCTGTTTATAAATTGCTTAAAGCCAGTGCTGGTCACACCATTGGTAATGATTTCAGATTGTTGAAGTTTTGAGCTGATCTTTTGTTATTGACAGTGAAACCATTACAAAAAAACAAAAACACACGCAAGTTACCGCCAGTGGGCATGAGCAAAAAAAAATTGTATTAATGACTTAAGATTTTACTTATCTTTATGCTCAGGAAATTTATATATCGACGACTTAGAGGAAGATCAACCAATCTCGGCTGCCAGTTTGAAACGCGTATTTCCGAATTTGATTGAAGAAGGCCGAACAAAATTTTACCGAGTTACCGAGCTGTAAGCTTTCATAAATTTGTAAGGGGATCTTAAAGAAATTCGTTAACCCACCGGCTGATTTGTGCTGACAACCCTGTTGCCAACCATTTTTTCAGAGTATTCTGAATTGTAGAGAAAATTTAAAGAATTCATAAAGTTCTCAACCGTTTTTTTGCAGAATTTTCTAAAATGAAGTAAACTGGGCACACATCGATTCTTTTAGGAAATTTCAAAAGAAAATCGGTAAAGCAATGAAAATAACGTTGCTATGTGAAGATTTTCTAGCAGAATTTTTTCAGAATTTTCTTTATTTTTCGTAGAGAAATTTCATTACGAGTTCGTGTCAACCACTTCATATAATTTTCTTTGAAGATTCGTGAAAAAATCGTTAGAGAAATGAGATCCTCCTAAAGATTTTGTTAAGATTTCGGGAACTTTGGTTTGCAGGGAAATTACATTACAAATAATGAGTAACAGGTCTATTCTGCGCTGGTAATAAAAAGTTTGTAACCGGTGAATAAAGTTCCTGTCACTATTGTAACCGGTAAGTTTTGTTACCATCTCATAAGCTGGTAATAAAGTATTGCCCCGTGAAATATGCAATACTAGAATTTGCACAACTCTTCATAGCTGAATTGCTGAATATTTTAACTGCATTACCAACGTACCTAGAATCGCGGTGACAAGAACTGGTAACATTTTTTGGTAATAAAATTTTCCGGTTACAAAATCTTCGGTAACGTGCAGAATAGACCTGTAAGTATAAAGCTGATTAAAGGATTCGTTTTCTGTTTAACGAAAAATAATAACAAAATGATGTTCCCACTTGGAAAAGTTTACCGAGTTAAAGAATACCAAGTACAACTTAAACGAATTCGGTGTGAAAACCCCTGTTGTATTTAGTTGACAACTTCTCAATTTGTGCCAAGCAAGTGCAAATTATTTATTGTTACATACAAAGTTTCTTAACAAATTTATGTTAACTGAGGTCACTTATCCGATGTCGTCCTAGAAAGATAAAATCTAACATCATGCAACCGGATTCTAGCATTCCCTATCGCTAATTGTGGCCGCTAAAAGTCTACAAAAGAAAAGCAGGTGCGCCTAACCACATGCAACATCTAGTTAGATGTCCTTCAACTGCCAAATTTGGCTGCCTACACATGGTATGTGTTACTTTTTCATGGTGTATACTTTTAGGCACCACTGATATTCACTTACGAGAATTTTTGGCGACGAACCTGCATTGACTTTCTTGGGACGATGGATACCTACCTAATAATAATAGATTGGCGCTTAAGCAGGGATCACACGATTTGTACATTTGCACATTTGGCAGCAGCAGAGTGGTGTTGCTTAGAATTTTTTTGTTCGGAATGAGTTCAGCTCGTTAACAACTTTCCAAACAACACCTCTCTGTAACTGCGAAAATGTACAAATCTGTACAAATGTACAAATCGTGTGATCCCTGCTGCCGAGCTTCTCCTCCGATTTGTTGTGTGCGCCTTTATGTTACGCCGACTCCGAACTACGGTTGTATTTTTATGAGAAGCTGTTTTTCATGGCAGAAATACACTCGGAGGTTTGCCACTGCCTGCCGAGGGGCGACCGCTGTTAAGAAAAACCCCGCTTTCTATATTTTTTGCGATGTTGCTTTTACCAGGGCTTGAACCAAGACACTGCGGATTGGAAGCGCGCACTGCTTACCACTAGACCACAGCGGCGCCGGATACCTACCTAGACCGGCATAAATCATGTGGATCGGTGGTAGCCAATGACTTCCCCACGTCGGATGTGGCAATAGAGAAAACCCCGTATTTGCTTTATTAGAAAGCGGTACCAGTACAAAAGCGGATCATTCCGGTAGCATAGATTGAATTGGCGGCGTAACAACCTCCAAAAGGAATCAGATCTACGCAGGATAAACTCAGTTACTGCTGACTCATATTTATACACATTATATACTAAAATATTTTATTTAACGCATAGTAAAAGCTAGCTTTTTTGAATTACACCTGTGCACGCAAAATATTCACTTTCGGTGTAAAGCAACTACTCATTACATACATACTTAAATATAACTAAATAGTACTAGGTAACTACTGCTACATAAAGAAATATTTGGGAGTATGTAGGAAGTAACTTGGTCTGCACCATAAGTTGGAGTGGGATTGGTTATACAATGTGGCCGGTGTAATTGTGTAACGGATGTTTAATTGAAAAAGTAATGTTCGTTGAAACCTACCACATTTGCATCCATATTTACATCATTCATATCATTCACCTCATCCACGCCCATGCCTACACCTCCAGCCGCTTCCGCCGCAGTCGCATCAGCTTCTGTAGTGCTAGCGCCAACAACATTCCCCATTGCGCCGCCTTCTCTCAACGCTCGCACATCCTCCAAGCCACTGGGCAGATTGTCTAAATACAGCACATTGGTACAATATTAACTCCCTGGATCATTGTATATTGCACGTTGTGCATGACGGAATTGCGCGTGCATTTGAGCGGCTGTTGTCATGTTCGGTATTAAATCGGACTTTGGCGGCGCAATCGCCGGGTTGGTAACAGTGGTAGGCAGTAGTGTGGGTTGCGTGGGTACGACGCCTATAACGGCCAGACTATCGCCTAATGTTGGACGGCTGGGTGCATCATCCGATATAAAACCAGCTGCCACAAGATGATCGGGTGCGGTTGATGATCCTAAATCGATGTGTTGCCCAGTGCCGTCCGCCATCAAAGTGGTCGCTGTTGCGGTGGATGGCTTCTCGAGTGGTGACATGATGGGTGTCTGATTGAGAAGCGCATTTGTGGCATTGGTGAGCGCTGGTCGGGTGCATGGTGGGGAGAGTGGCGGCTGTACTAAAGTTGGCTGGAGTATTAGATTGCCATCATCGGTGCCTATCAGTTGCAGCGTTTGCGTTGTATCTATGTGCAGGAGTGGTATGATATCCGCTTCAAGCCCTTCCTCCCCCGTTACTGTAACTGTTTGCAATTGCTGTATGAATTGCTGTTGCAGCAACTCTTGCTGTTCCAGCTGCTGCTGCTCCTCCAATTGTTGCTCTTCCAACAGCTGCTGCAATTGGCGATATTTGTCTTGCAAATTAGCATCTTGTTGCAGTGCTACCAAGGCATCTCGTGTCAGCTGGAACACATGTCCGTTCTCATCGCGGAGATTGTACACGTCGTCATTGGAGCGCATCACTTCCAAGAATTGATCCCATTCCATATGCACATAATTGTTACCAATTAAAATGGTGACTCCAGTCTCCTCTTTGTAGGTTTCACCAGTGGCCACCATCTGCAGTTCATCGGTTTCGATTGGGAATTCCGTCGTCTTATCTGTGCTAGGTGTTAATATCGGGCGGCCGATCAGTACTTCCTTCGGTATGGGTCTCAATTGCTGATCGCTGCCAGTGTAGAAGAAAGGTTGTGCAACCACTGGGACCCACTCGTCACCCACCCTTCTGCATAGCAACAATGTATCCGGGTAGCCTGGCACTGGCTGTGATGGCACGGCTATTACCGATGGAGTATGCTGCAATTGCAAAAAAAAGAAAGAAAACTTATTAGTGAAAAGGTCATTGATGAGTAAATATTGTCTTATAATTAAGTTTTCCATTATATACTCTTTGAGTTGAAAGGTAAATAATGGCTTTCCCCCAAAACTGCTCCCTGTTATCTTCACTTTTGCTCTTCTGGAGAAAGAGCAGACATTTACCATTATTTATGGAACACGATTTAATTTATGTGGCTTCCTCGACGATAACGGGCGGTTTTCCGACCCCCAAATGTGGCAGTTTACTTGCTAACATAGCCGCCGATAAGGACACGAATTTCGCACGATACGATACCATACCGATACTTTTGGCACTCGATACCGATATTTTTTCCTCGATAGCTTTTAAACCGATATTTTTTGAAATCGAGTACCAGAACCTTAGTATCGTATCGAATGCCATAAATTCAAATTACAAAGGTAATGTGATTAACAATTCTTCCCGATATACATAAATTGGGCTTTAAAGAACAGAAATTTGTACTATCGCACTATGGCTGAAATAACCACTTTCTGCGGCCAAAAGTCCAATTTTCAGTTCTTGCTTTAAACCTTTTTAACAGACGGATTTTATTCTAGATACTCTAATTAGAAAAGAAATTATATAGATATTGACGACCGCAAAGCAACTCTAGTCCCCTATCTGTCAATGTAAAGTATGTTGTTTTTTTGGTTTCAGTTTGTGCTACAATATTATAATGATGAACGCGGATGCATTTTACGTACTTTAAAAGTTTGAGGTGTGTTTATTTTTGCAGTGGAAAATAATACTAATGGTATGTACTATTGACTGTAACAATTGTGGCTTTAAAAAACATTTGTGTTTTTAAAAAATTCACTGTTTCAAAGTGCATGTTATGATTATACAAATTTAAACATATTATGCTTTTTTCGTGGAGTGTGACTCTTTCTGTCCGATTTCGCCCGATATGATATTCACACATATATATCCGATAAAAGGGCATATTATATCTACTTTCATTTGGTGTATGCATTGTCTGCTGCATCTTGCTGCTGTTAGATAAAATTACTATTTTCAGACGACATCAAAGTAAAAAATGAACAAATATTCAACGTGTGGGTGGACCGGGAGCCCATTAGTTTAAAATGGACATACATGCTTTACCACAGATTTGGATTCTTCGGACAAAAATACGTAACTTTTGTCAAAAACGTTTCTCTGGAATGAACTTCCGGTTAAAATAATCGACTTCCGGTCTGTTTAACTCACTTCCGGTCGAAACGGGAAACCATTTTAGAAAGGGTGGACGGGTTGTCTGGGACACCCGGTATTTGGGCTGTGGTTGTGGGTGCTTGCCGATTTCTCTGATTTTCAAGCCAACGTCTTTTAAGGTTCTCAGAAGCATGTGTACACGCCTTTAAGCGCCTATCTGCATTGGTTGATTTTTGGCCGCAGAAAGTGCTTATTTCAGCCATAGTGTATCGTTAGGATTGCATGTAGCGGATTTAGATATGTATAGGCATACATTTTATAACATTTATCAATAATTTCACAGAGTTATCGACATAAAAATAATTATCGATACATCAATCGGTATTTTAATTATCTTCTCAAGACAAATCGTAAGCACGCGATGTTCATCCATATATCGAGCCATATTTGCTGCAAATCGGTTATAACGACTTGTTAAAATTTTATCTTAATCGACGATGTGAGCACAGAACCTCATTGCGAATAGCAGTTTTGGCTGTAGTTTTAAGTAAAATTCCCTCTACAACTGAATGTTTAAAAATCGGACCATTTCTGTTATCAAAATATTTTATGAACTAGTATAGGAAAAATTGCAACTGAATTCGAAATTGCTCTCTTGAATCTCTTTTCAAATTGCTTAGATTTTCATCTTACCATTTTTTCTTTTAATTTTTGCCGTTCATGCAACCAGATATTAAATGAAAAAAGATTTGCACGAAACCTATTCTGTTTCCCATTGATTTAAACACCGTCAAAAATATCAAGTGGTATTCTCGAGAATTGAATTGGCTTAAACATTGCATTTACAAAGATGGCATGTGGACAATCTAGTAGATGCGCCAAACAGTTAAAGTTGTAAATATAAGCTGAGTTTATTCTGCTGAGGGGCAGTGTATGTATTTAATTGACTTAACTTCAGTTTTTTTTTGTTTCAAACAATCCTTAAAGCATCCGCACTCCCCGTATTTTAGATGTCTAGACTACACAATTTAAAATCTATCGTAAGCGCCAATACTTAGACCAATTGCCTCTCAATATGTTCACGATAAGTATTATAAGAATCATCATATCTCTCAACATTAAGCCATGTAAAAAATTAATACTTACTCCTATTAAAAAGATAGTGCTGCCTATCTAAAACCAAGGCCCCTTTTATGAGTTATATTCGATCTTCGATTGTGGTCGAAAGTGCTGATCGAACGAATTTTCATTTGGTATTATGACGCGCATTCGACGAAAAATAGCGCTATTGTAAATTTCGCTCGTTTAAATTGTTCACATTACTTGTTTCCTTACTTTTTGGCAAAATTATACATTTTTCACAATTTTCTAACACTTCTCCACACCATCGAAAGCAAAATTTTGTTCGAGAGAAGATTCGATACTCAACGAAAATGTCGACACGGTTGCATAGCTCATAATACGAATTTCTTTTTTCGATCTTCGACCTTCGATAACCAGCGAAGATCGAAAATCGAATGCAACTCATAATAAGGGTCCAAATAAATTATTATACAGTTTAAGGGGGAAATAAAAAAACCCTCTCCTATAAAACTTGGGTTCTGTCAATTACTTCAGATAAAATCGAAAATAGGGCTCGATATGTATGTATGTACGTATGTATTTATCGATACATTAGGGCGGGTCAATTTTTTTTTCGACATCGTTCGTAGCAGATTCGGATTCTACATAAAATTCTAAGAAAAAAGCCCTTTAGGCCATAGTCCTAAAATCAATTTCGAGCCTGCGAAATTTTAAAAGAAAATATCTTTAATTAATACTAAGTCCATAATCAGATTAATATTTACTAGTGTTAGGAATAATTTTTTTTGTAATAAAGAGTTGTTTTCCGGAGTTTTGTGATATGAAAAATTCATTGATATCTATTTTTTACCTTCCTCTTATTAGCTGGGGATGTAACTATGTAAATTGATGCGCCTAAAAGATGCAGCGATTGCTATACTCAAGTTACATACCTGATGACAGTACGAATGGCAATTATAATAGGGAGGTTTTAGTTTTTCAAACTATAATTTTATTGTTTAAAGAACCGCAATATGGCGCTTCAAAGCAAATCTACTATATATTTGTGGAAGTATGTATGTATGTATGTGCCAGGTTGCAGCCTAAAGGGATGGACAGAATTGAATAAAATTTTGCCAAAGTATTGCCATGACTCCTGGACCTATAATAGGGTAAAAAAATTGGAACTCGCCAAGGGGAAGGGGGATGGGGGATACCTCCCATAGTGAAAATTTTTAATCAGCTCTAACTTCGGAATTATAGTCACATGAACTCGAAATTTGAAATGCACAGATACCTATGGTAGGTGCTTATGGAAAAATATATGTATATAAATGAGTTTGTAAAAAGGGGCGTGGCACATCTCATAGGTGTGGAATCTTTTATCAGGTATAACAGCAGGCAGTATTAGTGATCTCAATGTATTGCATTTGGAAGATATGTTATAATTGATCAAAGTGAAATTCAGATAAGTTATAGACGAAGTGAAGTTCACCGGGTCATCTTCTAGTCTTTAATATATACTAAGTTAATATATGTATTAATATTTACTAAAGTGTTACGAACGTTATTTTTTTAATACAATAAGAAAAAAATAACTATAATTTAAAGGAGTGACACACAATGGCTAGAGACGTCGCATGTATGTATTCTTTCATATATGTACATATATATGGGCCGTTCTTACTAGAGCTCTAGATTTTGTTCGCACATTTTCAAACAGCTCGCGTATATGAGCAGCGAGTACTCGCACACTTGTTCAATGCTCATTACTCGAAAATTTTCGAGCACGAGCTCGAGCAGTTCGAGTTTTTTCGAGTAATTTGAGCAATGTTTTTTTTTATTATACTGACATTTTTGGTAGCAACTTTTTAAATTTTTCAAATTATTGCTATATAATGCAAAGATTGTTACATTGGTATTTAATAATATGATTTATTTAACATGAATTAGAAAGCAGCTGCTGACAAATACAATTTACAAATTTTCTTTTGTTTATGAAATTGTTCAAAAACATTTGAGCAGTTGAGCAATGAACGAGTTTCGAGCGAGTATCGAGCTACTCGCATTGCTCGATACCCGGGTATCTAGAGCTCTAGTTCTTACCGTTCTTACCTGCCCGGATAACACAAAATCCTAAGCTTGATTAACATTTGGTGTTATATAAGTTTTATAAAGCTCTACTTGTATTTAGGAAAAATGCCGAAAAAAAAATTATAAGATTGATTGATTGATTGGTAAAAATAGAAAGGGAGTTATGGCTATGACAATAGAAAGTAGAAAAAAGATACCTTGTGCTGAAAGCAAAAAGGATCTAAAACCAAAAAAAAATATAAATACATTATTAATCATAACAAAATTTATGATTCGAAAAATAATTTGGAAATATTGTAAATTTTTTTATTTTATTTTTATTTTTTGGTTTTTAAAGTTAAAGTTTCATTTACTTACAGTAACGAACAAAAGTATTGGCACAGTGAATTTTACGCAATATAGGCAAAGTATTTTCTAGAAGAATTCCAAGTATGCAGTTTAGTAATCCATTCAGTTTTAGTTTATCAAAGTGCAAGTTTGAAGTTGCTTGAAAATCTGAATGTAAAATTGCAAATTAGTATGCAAATTTATTGAATTTTCCTGAGTTTTGCACAAAGTTTACACATTTGATTTTTATGTGCTTTGGTATAGTATGAACTATGTTTTTATAAAAAACTATCGGAAATAAATTATAAACTTTGCATATATATAATGCGAAAATTTACTGTGCCAAAACTTTTGTTCGACACTGTACATATAAAAAAAAAATATACAGTAACTTCTCCCGTTACAAAAGTAAAAAATATGTAAATTGTTTTGTAGTGCAATCTTGCGGTTCTTTAAATAAAAAATAGAGGTCAGAAATTAATTTTTCGTATCAATAAACTCCCAAGCACAGGTTTGTATTAAAAAAAATATAGCAGTAACAGTTTATTAAATATTAATCAGCATATTTTATTAATTCGTCGGAATATTTTTTTATGTATGTTACCGGATAACTTTGGACTACGTTATCCGTTTTCTACAATTCTTTTTTAAAGGAAAGGTGGTTCCTCAGAGGTAGTCTCTACTAACTGAATCTAGATCCGATAATTGGGCCATAAAGAAAATAACGGTACTCTTAAATTTGTATATGAGAATTGAAGTCGGTTTTGTTTTTTGTTTAAAATTTACTCCAGTGTCCACAGCTTCTATAAAAGAGTCGTAGGCCATATTTTTTTTGTTAGTTCAATTGTGGAACATTTGTATCAACTGCTTCGGCTAAAACTTCGGCTTTTGTTCTCTTTTTATATTGAGGCTTAGTGCATTGTTCGATGGGGTGATATCATTGCCAAACATGATAGTACTTTGTTTGCCATCAATAAACACAGTACAGTATTCTACATTGATGCGAGCCTCAAAAGCTTTGAATAATAATTGCGAGTATGGCTTTTAGTTTTTACCGCTCAGGTAGGTGACAGGCCTATAGATAATTTCTTAATCAATAATTTTTCAAATACTTTTCGTTTGACACCTATATTATTATACATACTTTATCTTATTAACTTTATTGAATTAAATTTTCGACATTGGTGGCAACTCGACTCAAAAATATTTTCAGTAGTAGGCCTTCTTAAACCTTTTTAATTTGATACCCATATTGCAATATTTACTTTATCTTACCAATTTAATTTAATTTAATTGTGAAACAGCTGGAAACCCCCCATCAAAAATATTTTCGCCTGTAAGCCTTCATAACCTCTTTCTTTTGACACCCATATTGCAATATCTAATTTATGTCATTAATTTACTTATACTGAATTTTTAAACAGGTGGCAACTCTCTATTTTTTTCTCGTTTTAACCATTCGGATATTATAAAAAACAAACCAAAAAAAATAAAAATATTCAAGTCGGTCAAGCCGTTTTCGAGTCTTAGCGAGGCTAACGGACAGCAATTCATTTTTGTATATATCTTCTTTTAAAAATGCGCAGGCTCGAAATTGACTTTAGAGCTATGGTCTGGAGGAATTTTTTTCTTAGAATTTCATGAAGAATCCGAATATGCTAGGAACAATGTCGAAAAAAATCAATCCATACAAATTGACCCGCCCTATTATGTATGTATATTTATCTGAGTTTCTTACATATATCGATACATAAGTTATCGATATATGCATTTCTTGAGTTATTGAAATATTTTTTGAGTTACCGGCATAACTCTGAAGTTATCGACACAATCCTCGTGAATAACTTGGTGAGAGAAGAGACAAGTATGTTTGTATTTATATATTTAAAACATATTTGTTGGACCAAAAAGTAGTGGATAGGCACTGTGGCCAATGGTAAAGTCTGCAAAAAGCTCTGGAAACATTCTCTGGAGGATGAATCAGACTAGGATGAGCATACTTTGAAGTGACATCTAAGTATAACTTAAGAAAGTTTTATTAGATGGCAGATGAGAAGTGCATGTGCAAAAGTTTCATAAATTGCATAAAGGAAATTTTTGCACATGCAGCAGTGACATACTTTTAGGTGCGTGGTGTTAGCAGTCGCGCCTAAACAGCTCGAGTTGTCGATAAATTTCTCAAGTTATCGATATATTTTTTGATCTGCCAATGTATTTCTCGAGTTAATGGTATATTTTTCGAGTTAGGAAAAATTGTGCTACTGATCTATAAAGGGAGTAGGCCAGAATCAATCTCTTCGAAAATAATTAGTCCTCGATTCATACTTTACGCCTACAATTGACGATTCAATGATAAGTCTGTACTTGTATAAATATTATAAATCACCAATTAGAATCTCATCGGGCTCAAGCTTTTTTTTCTTTTAAGGGACGCGGACTTATTTCTTCGTCCCTTTCCGACAATAAAAGAGTAAAACTTGTTTATTCGTAGACAAGCTTGAACAAAGAGAACAATGGGCCACAGTGAAATATCATAAAAGGACTAGAATATCCCAAGGAGATTTATTAGCCCTTGAAATAGAGATGCCATCATTAGCTACATATCTCTTAGATGGGTCTGAGAGTTTGGAATGGGAAATTTCTAAGTGGTATTGCTTTTTTTGGAAACACATATGTAAATAATATTTTTGCAGAATCAAATGACAGCTATTGGAAAAACATATGTACCTACACGCTTATTAATTTAAATAGAGCCCCACCGACCCAACAGTCGTTAGTTCATCTGGTCGATGATGAGCCGACGGTAGAGTCATTTAAATTCTTTCTCTCAAGGCACCAAGCTTTAGTCCCACCAGGGGTCAAGCAGCTTAGCTTTAACTTCATTGGCATTCCATATGATATGACGCTCACAATTTTCCTTAAATCAGGGACAAAAAAATGTTATTCACATCGGACAATGATAAGTGTTATGCGGTAGAAATACTTTCTACGACGTCGAAGACTTTTTAATCAACTTTTAAATTTACGTTGCCTAATATAATAATAAGAACGTGATAAGAGCAGTCTATCCCGCGATCGTTTTATTTTTGTGATGAAAATATCCATTTACATTGGCGGCCGCTGTGGTGTAGTGGTTAGCAGTGCAGCGCTGCCACTCCGCAGGGCATGGATTCAAGCCCGGTTCAACCCAACATCAAAAATAAATAACAAACAAAAAATGTTTTCTAATAGCGGTCGCCCCTCGGCAGGCAAAGGCAAACCTGCGAGTGTATTTCTGCCCTCCCCTTTGAGTGACATCAAGGCGCACGCCACAAATCGGACGAGAAGCTCGGAAGGTATGGGAAGGGAGTAACTCACATCGTCGCTGAAATACAAAAAGCAGCAAAAATCCAAAATTCACTTTTTGATTGATTATGATGCCGTTCATCGAACTATAAGTCACCACATCGTTTTGCGCAATAAAAAATTATAATTAGTTAAGATTTTTTTTTTGCACTTTAGCAACGATGTGAGATACGATGTTATTATTAAATACCCATTTACACTGCATCCTTTTACTTACTTCGTTCGCTTCAAACTCTTCTGCTAAAATTTCTTCAGTGTAGACCTCGGACGGTTGCAGCTCTACTGCTTCAAATTCCGCTGGTATAATCTCCTCTGCTGACGATGACGCCGCCAATTCTGATATATGTACAGCCGTTACGTGCTGCTCTTGCTGCTGTTGTTGTTGCTGTTGCTCTTCTAAGCACTGACTCTGCTGCTGATCCAACAACACCATTTGCGTTGACTGCAATCGTTGCTGCTGCTGTTGTTGTTTTTGCTGTTGCTCTTGTGGCGCCGTCACCTCAGCTTTTGTGCTCATTCTACGATGCTGTTGCGACAGCGAATGACGCTGCTTGCGATTCTGTAACGGATGCAGTGGAGGTGGCTGCGTTGTTGTTGGCGATTGTATTTTTTGTCGTTGCTGCTGCTGGAGCTGTAAAAGCTGCTGCTCTGCCGTCGCCGCAAATGTTGACTCACTGTGATTGTCGGCACTTCGGGGAATTTTGGTGGGCGGTGGCGCATGTGCTTCTGTATAGCTGAGGCGTCGATTCAATAGCGCGGCATCCTCATCAACGGCCTCTTGCTGCTGATGCAACTCCGCCAGGCTGCTGGCTGTACCAGTTCGGCGTCGTTGCTGTACTGCCTGCGACTGCAATTGCGAGCGACGCGAATTTGTTGGATGATTACGCTTTTGTGCTGTTTTGATGCCACTCCCAGAGGCGGACTGTGAAAGCTGTTGTTCACTTGGTGCTGCTTTTGTTGTGGTGGTTGCGCTTGTTATACCATCCGTTATTTTTTGTTGTCGCTGCTTTACCGTAATGCTGCTGGGCAAGGTAATTGTGTTGCCAGCCTGCTTGCGGCCGCCAGTAGCAGCGGCCGCCGGTGACTTTGGTTTATTCGCGGACGTTTGCTGATTCTGCTGCTGCTGTTGTTGCTGTTGCTGGCGTTGTTGCTGTTTCTGCTTTGGCTCAGCTATTGGACGCAATGTGACCCCCGAACCCAGATTATAAGTGGTGGTCGTTGTTTTTTCGGTAGGTGATATAGCCAACTGTTGCGCGGCGCCTCCGGCAATCGCCTGCGATTGCTGTTGCGACCCCTGCAGTACTGGCGGCTGCGATTGCTGAATTATCAAATCACTCGGTGCCGCTTTGATTATGATTATGCCAGGCTTATTATTACCCAATACTTGACTATTTGCATTGCTCGCTTGTTGCAACGGCTGCTGCTGTTGTTGATTAGTTGAACGTTTGCGTTGTCGTTGTTGGCCCGTTTGCGTTGATGTTCTATAAGCAGTTTGTAGAATTTGTTGTTGCAAAATCTGTGGACCATCTGTGCGCAAATTTGTTTCAGCATCCGGAGACGAAGTTAGCACGATTTGCATATCACCCTGTGCGGACATAAAGTGCTCATTGCCCAGCACAATGGGCATATTGCTAATGTCGAACATAGCGCCAGTAGTCTCCTGTTGAGCTACGTCAGTTGTAAGCGGCTCGTCAATAAATTTCTCTTTGCGTGTGATTTTAACCTGTGGACACATTTGTTGTACATGTGCAACGGCATCCTGTTCGCCGATGGTGAAGTCTAGGTTTGAGGATGGTGTATGTTGAGATTGAGATCCAACTGTCTGCCCTGGCCGCTCAATTATAAATGATGGTATAGACTCCTCAAGATTGGACTTCTTTGTGCCTGTGCCACCAGCAGACTTTGTGGCTAAAATGTTGGCTATTTGCGTGGAGAGTGGATTGGCCACGTCTACGTTGATGCGGACCTTCTCCATGGGCGAAGTGTTGATGCTGCAAAATAAATTTAAATAAATTTAAAAATATTAATATTCATATACATAAATATGTACATTAATATAGTCTTCGAACAATTCGTAAGCACGTAACGGAAAATCGGCGATCGAATTAGGATAGTACCTCTAAGCTCCAGAACAACTAAACCCAGTTTTTTCCAAAATTCGACCACAGTATACTTTATTTTGGTAACTGTACCAATAAACATTAAAAATTTTAGTAAATTAGATAGAAATAGTTGATGTAAACGAAACAGAGAATTAATGAGTCAGATATTTTTTTATACGTATAAAAATAAACCTTTGCATGTTTGTCCTTTATGCAACCCCAAACCTTTTATCAGGTTGTGATGACATTTTGGTATTTGGATGTTACCCAGAAGATAATTTAAGTAGGCCTTCTTCTTAAGTGAAGGCATTCCAAAAGGTTTACCCAAGAAGGGCTAAAAAAGTGCTTCTCTGCATGCCTTCTAGGAGGGCTTTTCCCATTCCCAATTTACGCAAATGTATAAGTTCATATCTGCGCTTAAAATTTGTATGGAGCTGTAAGCGACAAACTTTATGTGCGCTTATGAATAGTTGTCGATAAATTTAAAATTACTTGTTTTCAAATGGAAATTTTCGATGTTTGTTTTTACACGTTAAGCGTTATCTTCGGTACCGTGTGATTTAACGCTAACAAAAACGTAAATTTTTAAATTGAACGCACAAATATAAATTATACATCAAATTGTTTGAAATACATTGAGAAAACATTAAATTAGTGTGCGATTCTTTTTTCTCGAATGATTAAAGAGTTATAAGTAAAAAAGGAAAATTTTTGAAAGCTCAGTGGTAGCGATTAGGGCTGTGTGATTATTCGATTACTCGAGCAAGTTGGTTTATCAGTTATCCGAATAGTCAATTACTCGAGTAATCAAGATTTTGATTACTCAAAACGATGATTAATCGAATTACTTAAAACCAGACCTGTTAACTTTGGATTACTGTTACTAATCAAAACGATTACATAGGTTCGGTAATCGTACGGTATAATTCAATTAGTGTTTTTAACCGAGGAATTAGTAATCAATTATAATTAGAATTAATCAAAAAACAATCATGATTATTTGTCATTAAAAAAAATAATCTATAATAATCAAAAATAACACAGGTTTACAAAAAAAAAAGTGTATGCATATTAAACCAAACCTATTTATCCCTATGTTATTCGACATGCTGAATGCGAATCCGAGGTCCGTTAGCCTCCATCACGTCAGGTTCGTGGCCATTTGAAGGTCAAGTAGGGAAAAATTCATTGAATAAACATGAAAATTTAATAAAATTCATCGGAATTTGACCTTGGGAGGACCTCCAGATGACCTTGAGGAATCAAGGGACCTCCATACTCGGTTTCAGTGACAACAAAAACAATTTTTTTTTTTTTTAATTTTTATTTAATAAATTTTATGTCCTATTTGACCTACAAATGACCTCGAAGCTGACATTATGGAGGTTAACGGACCTCCGATTCGGGTTCAGCGAATGTAAAACCTTATGTATAGGAATTTTCAGGTTTATTCAATGAATTTTTCCCTACCTGACCTTCAACTGACCACGAACCTGACGTGGTGGAGACTAACGGAGTTCGGATTCGCATTCGGCGTGTCGAATAACATAGGGATATATAGGGTTGGTTTAATATGCATATGCTTTTTTTTGTAAACCTGTGTAATCCAAAAAAGTAGTTGATTAAATTTGGTGATTACTTTTGATTATTTTTGTTCGATTTCATTGTAAAGAAACATACTTGTTTATTTTCTGATGGTATGACATGCTTAAAGTAGCGGAATACACATACATATTTAACATACATGCATACCCTCCAAAAATGCAAATATTCGCAACATCCCCGTTATCTATGGTCATTTGAAAGAACAACGTAACACTGTATTTCACAGCTACATACATATGTTTGTCGACAAAACATTTCTTTCCGTCTAAGCAATTTTATTTTATTTAAAATAATTTAAATAACTATAAATAAGCAAAAATAATAAAAAACAAGAAATAAAGTCTAAGTTCGGGCGGAGCCGAACATTAAATACCCGGCGCAAGTATTAAATATATGGATTTCAGCTTTCCGCAAGCTACCGCTACTTGGGGTGTATCAATTTTGAGTAAATTAGCGTCCTTAAATTTCGAAATATTAAAGTTTCAAGCATTTCTGAAATTTACCGTTATGTCAAAATCGGCCGTAATTTTAGTCCGATTTCAATAATTTTACAAAGCAAGACTCTTCTAAGAAAAGTTCGTTTGGCCATAAACACTAGCTCTGCGAAGTATTTTCAAAATCGAATAACCGAAAGACGTATCTCAGACGCTCGACTGGTACTTTACGTATCATTTGAGCCCAACCAAGCGTCAACATCTCCGTCTTCTTCTTGTTCGGCGCTGTAACCGCCTAAGCAAATCAACTTCAAAAAGTTCAACTGTTAATAGCTTAGTCACCCAGTACCGAAAGAAACTAGTTTAATTATCGATGTTCAACTAGTCTTTTACCCAACACACAACTAGTTGAAGATCTGAATTTCTTCCTTGGAACGAACTGTTGACTTTAACATGGCGATGTCCTAGGCATCAGTCAATTATTCGACTCTGGATTTGATTTCAACTACTTTAGAACGCTTTTGACTTAAAGCACTTTAAAGCCAACCGTTTGATTACGCTTTCGTTCTGCACTTCACACGATGCTTTTCATAATTAAGAAAAACCGAAATTAAAAATTTAAAGTTAAACGTTTCGCCTTATGAGATTTGAACATGGACATTCTTGGCCGCAACCAATTGTAGCAAACATCTTTGCACGATCAGCTACAGCCAGGTATTTTAATGTGCTTTCAGATGTTCAGTTTGTATTGTGTGCAAGCAGCAAGTCGATTGTCCGACTCCGCATTTGATTTCAACTACTTTAAAATGTATTTGGCTTAAAGCAATGCAAACTCAGTATGTTTCCTTTACAGATGACTTTCCATGCTAAAATAGTTAATTGCCCATAGATCATTTTACAACTAATAATGAACTATTTGCAAAGATATGTATCGAAAGTGTAAGCATTTGGTTTATTTCAATGAGGCTTCTAGGTGAGTATACATCAATTTGAAGCTAGTTGCTGCATAGCTAGAAATAAACTACTTTTTCTGAGATAATTGGTTGAGCCTTGCAGTACTGGGTAGCTTTAGAGCAATCATAACCATATTATGTATAGAAATTTAAGCCCGTTTAAAACGACGCTAAGATGAAGTCTCTACGATGAGCAGAACCCGAGATATAACGAGGCACGGAAAAATCCCAACATTGACACATCATATCTCCGAAGAAAAAAATTAAAACAAAATTTCCTGGAATACTTAGCTTATCTATATATATAAAAATGGTGTGAAAAATGTATAGTAATTCATCAATTGAGAACGGTTGGGCCGATTTGGCTAATTTTTTTCCAGTTGTTCGTAATTCGAAGGAGAAGGTTTTGGGAAAACCCTCCGGTGGACCAGGGACCGATCTATTCGAAAAAATCGTATTTATGGTCCGATTTGCTTAAAATTTGGTACGTAGTAAGCTTTTTGCCTATGTTCCGGGAAGTGGACCAGGGACTGATCTATTCGAAAAAATCGTAGTTATGGTCCGATCTGCTTAAAATTTGGTACCTAGGTAGCTTTTTGCCAAGATTAACACATAGGATGCTTCTTTTCCGGGAAGTGGACCAGGGACTGATCTATTCGAAAAAATCGTAGTTATGGTCCGATCTGCTTAAAATTTGGTACCTAGGTAGCTTTTTGCCAAGATTAACACATAGGATGCTTCTTTTCCGGGAAGTGGACCAGGGACTGATCTATTCGAAAAAATCGTAGTTATGGTCCGATCTGCTTAAAATTTGGTACCTAGGTAGCTTTTTGCCAAGATTAACACATAGGATGCTTCTTTTCCGGGAAGTGGACCAGGGACTGATCTATTCGAAAAAATCGTAGTTATGGTCCGATCTGCTTAAAATTTGGTACCTAGGTAGCTTTTTGCCAAGATTAACACATAGGATGCTTCTTTTCCGGGAAGTGGACCAGGGACTGATCTATTCGAAAAAATCGTATTTATCGTCCGATTTGCTTAAAATTTGGTCCGTAGGTAGGTTTTTGCCCAGATTAGCATATAGGATATTTTTTCCGGGAAGTGGACCAGGGACCGATCTATTCGAAAAAATCGTAGTTATGGTCCGATTTGCTTAAAATTTGGTACGTAGTTAGCTTTTTGCCTAGATTAGCATATACGATTCTTTTTTTCCGGGTAGTTTCACTTCTTCTTCTTATCCGCCATGTTAACTATCTGACAGAAAACGTGTTTCGTATTTTTTGTTGTACCAACTTTTTCAAAAAAAAGTACAGCTTTTGACGTTGGAAAAATAAAACAAAGGAAAGCCAAACATATAAGTAGAGAATTTGTCTAATATTTTTAAATAATTTTCTTCATAACTGCTGCTTCCGTNATCGGCGGCCGATAAAGTCCGTGGTGTGCGATAGATCTAAAACATTTTAAACAAGAAATATTGCAGTCACATTTTCGTTTTTAGGATTTTTATTCATGTGATAAGCAGTAGCAAGAATGTATGTATGTATTAAATGGTGTGAAAAATTTATAGTAATTCATCAATTGAGAACGGTTGGGCCGATTTGGCAAAATTTTTCTTTTAGTTGTTCGCAATTGCCAGGAGAAGGTTTTTACGATAGAAAATTTTGGGAAAACTTTCCGGGAAAGTCGGGAAATTGGAAAAATCGAAAATTGATTTCTTTGTATGGATGGCTTTCGAATGGTAAAATAGAAAATTCTGGAAAAGTCGGAAAAATTCAGAAGAACGCGAAATATTTGAATCTTTTTCGACGAAATTTTGTATTTTATCGCATGATTTGATAATTTTGGACAATGTTAAGGTGGAAAATTCGTTGTGAAGCTTGGAAAATTTCGGATAATTGTGAAATTCATTGTGAACATGAATCAATTGGGAACAATTTTCTCCTAGATATGTTTCATAACCGATTCGAATGGTTGCTGCTTTTTTGGAAAGGTGTTTAGAAGGAGTGCACAAAGTTTTAATTTTTCCGATATGTGGGGCAGGGGTCGACCTACGCTAAAAAATTAGCATATAGGATCCATTTTTCCCGTTACGTGGGCCAGGGACCGATCTATTCGAAAAAGCCTTATTTATGGTCCGATTTGCTTGAAATTTGGCACGTAGGTAGCGTATTGTCTGGGTTAGAATATAGGATACTTTTTCTGATAGGTGGACCAGATACCGATCTATCGGAAAAAATCTTATTTATGGTGCGATTTGCTTGCAACTTGGCACGTAGGTAGCTTATTGTCAGGGTTAAAATATTGGATACTCTTTTTCTGATAGTTGGACCAGGGACCGATCTATTCCAAAAATTCTTATTTATGGTCTGATTTACTTGAAATTCGATACCCGTATTATAGATATTACGTAGAATGGAATTGAGTCATTGTTTTACAGTTCGAAAGGTGTTTGAAGGCGCTGCAAACATGCGGGTATTGGCTATTTAACAATAGTTATTACACACGCCAACAAAAATATAAACAAATTTGATGCAGCTAATGTTAACGCTAATTTTGACGTAAGCATACAGTTTCCGTCAGCTCCAGATTTTAAGAAAAACAAGGTCAGTGTCAAAGAATCGCGATTTTGCAATATTTGAGAAGCTCTAGCAAAGAATCAAAGGGTGGTAGAACCTCCCACTTAAGCTTAGATTAAAGAAAGAAAATCTCGGCTACTATCCCTGCAAATTCCTGCACCTTTGCTTGATGGTCACTTATAGTTATTTGTTGAACAGGAAAAACTGATTTTGGGAAGTTTGAGTACCTACCGCAATTAAGAAAAGTTCCACTTAAGCTTAAATTAAGGCTTGGACTTCTGACTTCAATCCCTGCAAATACCATTCCTGCACCTTGACCCTGCGGTCCTTGCTTTACGTTGACTAAACAGAATGTGGATCAATGATACTCACCAGTTTGGAAATTGCCACCAACTAGACTATACAGATTCAAGAACGATTCACTATCGAGCCGCAAGGACTTCTTCCCGGTATAACGCTTTCATCAGGTTATTTAAGACGCTAATGGAGAATATTCCTTCTGTCGACCACAAAACCAAACGTGAACGTGAATTGCTGGCGAAACGTTGGACCAAATATTTCAATAAAAAAATTAATTTTGGGCGGGACGAAGTTCGCCGGGTAAGCTAGTTTCATGTATAGAACCCATAAAAAAAATTTGGAGCGAATCAGAGATATCATTTTTATACGAAATCCGTCCGACTTAGAGCGCGGTTACCCACGAACGTGTGCGTAGAAGTACGTAGAAAGATATCAAGTATGCTGTTGATAGAAAGAGAGAGAAGCAACGTCTACGTCACGGTCATGCGGTGGTGTGTTTTTTTTATCACGCAGATCCCATAAGATTGATCGTGTCAGCTGACACGTTCTCCGTTTTTGCGTCCGTGGGTAACTGCGCTTTTAAATATTAATGGCTCATATAACAAATACGAAAATTTCGGATAAAAATCGAAGAAATTACAGTTTTTTAAAATCGCCACTTGCCACGATTTTGAACTTCGAGCTTCCTCATTCGGTAATATTCGAAGGCTATCGTCAGTACAAACTACATCGCGCTTCTTTAAAAAATTGAAGAAGTCCTGTTCCATGGACTGAGACGATACAACCATCGGAGACAATATCTTTCGGTGATGAGACCTTCAAACTGCGAAGAGTTAGAGCGTCTCATATGCAGTGTCTGTCTCAACTCTTGTTTAATTTCCATATCGAAATTCTCTCAAACGCCAGAGTGCTTTTCCATACGGGGAACATTGTTCGTAATGGCAAAGGCAAAGAGACTGCAAGGCGATTGATCTTCCGATTGTAAAGTACACTGCGCTTTGGTGGGAGCCTGAAACTAGTCTGACAAAACTAAAGACCTGTCAGAATGTCTCTCCAGGAACGGGATTGCCTTCGATGTACGTTTTTAATGTGCCTTTAAAGGGGCACAACATCATATGCTCAGCAACCAGTTCTTCCTGGATTGTTATCGCACAAACCAAAGAGGCTCCTCTATACCAATTACAAGAGTTACCACAATGACAAGGTTCACAATAAGTATATGTATATGTAAGCCTTGAATAAAAGGGCAGGTTAAACGTATAACAATAAGAACGCTGGCTTGGACAATTCTATAAAATAGCTACGCATTTAACTTACCATACATTATCTGCTTGTGGCTGCGCATCGTGGACAGCGGCAGCTTTCTGCTGATGCACAGGTGCGCTCGCGTCATTCGGGCTGCTATTCAGATTGTTAAGCGTATCGCTGTCTGCAGTCGCTTCTACTGTGTTAACAGCGTCGACAATCACCTCTTCTATCGGCTGCTGATGCTCAATCGAGGCGTAGTCGACATACTCGATTGCATTGGATACATCTTGTGGACGCAGTGAGTTTATCTCAGATACTGCTGCATCTACAGTCTCCTCAATCGGTGCAGTTGTATCATTTAGGTAAACTTCTTCAATGATGCATTGCTCTTCTTCTACTATAAGTGGCGAATTGCCTTCATTGCCTTGAGCATTAGTGTCGGCATTGTCTTCAACTTGCATTTCTGCGGGATCCACTTCAATATAATTGTCAATAGCAGATTCGGAATTTGCCTCGTCATCAGCTGCATTCTGTTCTTCTTGTGTTTGAATGATCTCAATTCCTGTATCACTTTCGTCGTTCGAGCTCTCCAGTCGCCTACATTTTGCTCGCTGTATCAGTTCTTCTTGCTCTATTAATTCGCTCTCTTGTATAGCATCGATTTGTGTGGCGCCGCTGGCATTTCGACGGGGTGTAGCTTTGGCCGCACTACGGCGTTTGCGGGTGGATCCAACAGATTTTACTATAGGTATGCAACTGGCAGGAGTTTCTTCAACAAACACTTCAGACGCTTGCTCATTGCTAGGTGTTGTTTCCATGGGCTCCGCGTGCACAACGTCAGGTATTGTTACTGCAGGTTCGTTTGCTTCATGCGTCGCGGCAACAACTTCAACGAACGCAGCTTCACACTTTTCGTTTGTTTCGTTCACTTTTACTGTTACATCTGATACTTTCGTTGATTTTCGTTGTTGCTGATGTGCTGGCGTCGTTAACTCCTTTCCCTCGTTTTCATCTTTGGTTGTTGCTTCGTCTAGATCGGACAAGTCTAGCTCTTTCATATAATCGTTCGATTTGGCTTGTTGCTGTCGCGTCGATCGAGTTAGACGTTTTCCGCTAGTCACCTCTTTGGTAAATTCACCTATGCGTTGTGGTGAAACGCTTGCTGAGTTCGCTGATCTGCGTTTTAAGCGCTCAGCGCTAGTTTCAAGTTGTGCCTTTCCTTCTTCAGTCTCTGGCGGCGCGTTTGAATTTTCGTTTTTATTTATTATACGTCGCTTTTGAGTTTTAGTCAGCACTTTAGCTCTCAGCGACAACGCTTCCGCATCGCCTTCGTGACCGGAAAGTGGTTCGTGCGGTGGGCTTTCGATGAAATCGTCGTCCATATCCGAGTCTTCGTCGTCAATATTCTCAGTGGCTATTACAGCAGCTAGTTCTTCAGGAACCACTTTTGATTCGTTATTCAAAAGCTCCGCGGCATTGACTTCATTCTCCTGTTGCTCCGCCTGTTGTTGCTCCTCCGCTGCAGCATCATGCAATACATCCTGCGGTAGCTCGCCTTGCGCATTACTTGCGTCTCCTTGTTCTTTAAAGCTATTATCCGTAAGTTCTTCCGCGTTTCCACTTTCGCCTAAGTGGTCGCAATTCTCATCATGCGTATCGAGGGCTTGTATCTCAGTCAGAGTTTCAGCCTGAATTTGTTCTCGCGTCTCTCCGCTTTCCACGCTTACCAAATTATCATTCTCCGCCCTCTTTTCGCCATCCAATTCTTCAACATTCGCTTCGTAGTCTTGTAAATTTTTTCTGTCGCTTTCGTCTGAAACACTGTGTGCTGCTAGATTGTCCGTGTTATCGCATGTGGCTTGCTCAATTGCTACAGTCATTTGCTCATCAAAGTTTGATTGCTCTACTGAAGGCTCCTTCACATCTTCTTCCATTTTGTTATGCCCCTCCGGGCCAATAGGTGGCATCAACTCCTTACTTTTACCTTCCACAACTTCGCTGGACTCTTCAACACGTTCCGATTGACTACTATCTACAATGACAGCCTGTTCACCGGTGCCCTCTTTCGCTGGCACTTCTTCCATTAACTCTATTCCACCTCCTTCGCCACCTGCTACAAACAACGCAGTTTCCAGGGTGTTTTGCACTTTCCCGTCTCTGTGAACATCGCCTACACCTACCATTTCAATTTCACTTTCCAATATCTTCGCCTCTTCACTGCCCGCTGGTATTACCTCCATCAGCGCATCAGTGGGAGTCATCAGTCTACCAGTTATTGTTGGCAAACGTTCATCATCCAGCATTGAAGTGGGGGAACCAAATTCTGCGCCAGCCTCGGAGATGCAAACCGAACTGTTGTCGTCAGTGGGCGAAGTGAGTCGGCTTTGTGGCAATTCTTCGCCTATCATAGCTGAGTCGTGCTGCTGATCCTCCGCTATATCATGTTTCAGAGCGGCAGCCAAAGAATCGTCGACTTCCCCCAACGGTTCTTTATCATCTAGATTCGATCGTGGCTCAGTTAACCGCACTTCTGCGGCTTCTGTGACCACAGCTACCTGTGCGAGCAGCAAATTGGGTTCAGTAATATTTTCATTGTCTGCTGGGGTGTCCTGCATTATAACTGAATCTTGTCTAAAGGTGTCTTCTTTGCCAGTAGCATTTCCCTTCACTTCTGTTAGAATTTGCTGCTCTACAGCAGCATTGACAACTTCATTTTCGCTCAAGTTCGTGTGCTCGCTAGAGTTTTCTTCAGCTCCCAATCTTTGTTTTGTATTATCAATCTGATCGCTCAAATCTTGTAATTTCGAATGGTTTTCATATGGCTCAGCATTTTCTCCTGCCTTTCTTTCATTGTCTGGCTGTGTAGATGCACCACCATTCCCTTTACTTGCTTCGTCGGCATGAATTATTTCCCCAAAGCTCTGCTCACAGTTAATTTGTAACTCCGTCATTGAGCCTATATTTTCACCATTTACTTCTTCCGTCTCGCTATTTTTCTGCTCCACGCTCGAATAACTTACAACCTCCATTACGGTTGTTGTGGCTAAAGAACCATTAACAGCTTTAAATCTTAAAATTGTCGAATCCTCAGCGCTTTCGGTTCTGAATGTTTCTTCCTTGAACCCAATTTGGGCATCTGCTACAACTTTTCTGACTTCTTCGCTTTTTTCGTTGCCAATCGGAGCATCTGTTGGTGGCATTATAGCAGGCGGCTGCTCATTTTCATACACACCAACTTTTTCTACATTCGCCAGCACTTTGTTTTGCTCAATTTTTGCTTCATATATAGCTTCTTCGATATTTTGTTGTTTCTCATTTTCTTGGCGTTCCTCAGTCATTGCTATGACAACAGGTTCCTCCACCTTTGGTTCTATAGCCTCCCGGATTTGTACGGACGCCACACCTCCCATTCCAACGCCTGCCAATGGTGGCACTTCCTCGATACGTGAACGATTTCTCGACTTGAAAATGCGCTTGCCTCTTTCTTTAATCGGCAAACCCTTTACTGGTAACTCTTCCTTGTTGCTACCGTAAGAGTGTGTACGCGAAACGACCGCGGGTATGGCAGCATCAACTATGCTGGGCGCTGTTGTTTGTTCCAGCAACTTTTCGATGTCGTACGCCAGCTGCTGGTCCTTCTGTTCGGTAGAGCGGCGTTTCTCGCTTTCAGACGGCAGCCCGTTATCTGCCAGCGCTTTCTCCTGCGCTTTGTCTGGGGAGAGATATTTCTTCTTGAAGTCGGCTATTGACCTTAGTGCGTCGCTGCAGCTATCATCTTCTTCCTCTTGGAACTCGAAACAATCAGTTCGTTGTTGCTGCTGCTGTGCAGCGGCGGTGCTAGTCAAAGGGCGTTCCTCCTCTTTTAAACGCTGAGGCGACATAGGCATAAGTGGTTCTTCTGTTTCCATTGGGACATGTTCTGATTCGGTTGAGGTTGCCAGTGTTTCAGTTGCTGTTTTCTGCCTCCTGATGATTTTTTGTCTTTTTTCACGGCCTCTTTGCTTTGCCGGCTGCTTATGGGCTTTCATTTTTCCTTCCTCTTCTTTTTCCAATTTCAAATCGATTCCGTCAATTTCTTCGTCTGATGCGATCTGTTTATTTTCTTCGGTGTCCACAACTTCGTTTTTCGCCACCTCACTGCCCACTAAAACAAACTCATCACCGTTCTTCAGATGCACTATTGGATTATCGTCACTCTGTTCTACTCTCTCATACGTTTCCACATTTTTTATGTACTCCACTGCTTCTACCTCTACTTTAGCTTGCTTTTCTCCCTGCACTAATGTGTCCTCATTTATTTCGTCCAAGGTGTCAACAAGGTCTTTTCTTGTGTCGTTAACTAGTAAACCGTGCGCTGCCGTTTCATTTCCATTTGTACCTGCTTCGCCCACCGACGCCTCCGTTTCACCATCAGTACCAGTGTTGTCATCAACAATAATTGTTTCACCGCTATTTGGTGGCACCACCGCCACTACAACCACTGAATCGGAGCTGTTGCTGCTGCTGCAGTTGATACTCTCCAGGTTCACAATTGCCGCTGGCGACTTGACTGTGTAGTCACTTGTAAATTCTTTTAATACCGCATCCCGCCGATCTTTCTTCGGTATGTTCCTAATACGATTCTGATTTGGATTTGAAGTTTGTGGACTAGCGTTGCTGATAGCCACATTTATTGGCGTCGCGATAGCATATACCGACTCATCTTTTTTAATGACTGTTGCTTGAATTGTTAACTCACTCATTCTGAATTCATCTCCTTCTGTGACAGGCACATCGCTTCGTTTTGCGTGCTCCTTGAAGTCATCCAACATTTCTTCGTCTTTCTCCCCGTCACTCCAATCAGCCAGCAAGCGTTGTCGTATCTCCTCTGCTGTGCTATTCAACACGGCCGACGTGCTACCGATCTCACCAGCCTCCAAATTATGCTTCCGCGGACTGCATATGCGCAACAGCTCCTCTGTCGCAGGAGATGATGAGTTGTCAGTGGTATCGTCATCGCTCAGTTTGAGTTCTCCTTTCTGTGCGCCAATCGGTATGCCATCTGGTAAAGTAATTTCAGTAACATCGGCATCTATACGCAACGAAGAGCGTAGTTTCTGGCGCGATGAACTGGCAGCGCTTAAAATCGCGCTTTCAGCTTCCGCCAACTGCGGTTTTTGTCTGTTTTTAGCGTTTCGCCTATTTAACGGCGTAGCATTGTTTTCTGACTTTGGTACGTAGGCTGCGCTGGTGCCAAGTGTTACAGGATATTTGCGCTCAATATCTTCGCCCAAGAAGCTGCTGGATGTGTCTTTAGTTGATGTTGCCGGCGATGTTGTGGTGCACGCAATGGCATTAGCAGATTCCTTGGCAGCGCTAGTTATGGTAGCTGAAGGTGGTTTGCGTGCGGATGTCGAGGCGGCTGGTGCTGTTGGTGTGCCACCCGCACTATGTGTACGACGATGCATGATCATGACATTCTGACGTTGGCTAGAGAAATTGCACAGATTACACCGATAAAAGTTTGTATCGGCGCTACTTGCGGCAACCGAATTTGTGTTGTAGTTTGATGTAATTAGGGGTAATGGTAGGGGTTTTCCTGCTTCTGGAGAGCGAGTTGCTGTTGAAGTTGTTGTTGTTGAACGTTGTGGTGTAATATTGAGAATTTTCGTAACAGAATCCTGGAAGAAAATAAATTGATGGGATCAGAGAAGCGCATGTCTTAATGAAATTAAGTAAAAAAATGCAGATAATTATTTTGCAAGTCATGTAAGCAACTTTATGGAAATTCTACTTAAAAAAATATGTAGTTCAAATATCTGAATCTATCATTCATCCATCGAAATCCAATTTTCCTGAGATCTACGAAAATGCGGTCACTAAATCCGAACAGCTACGAACGTAATTATTTGTCGTAAGTACATATCGCACACTGCCTTCAAACGCGGCACAACTCAAAATTTTGCAAATATCTACGCCCAGGCCGATGCAGATGATGTGGCCTGCCGCGCTTCCTTCTCTGTAAGTTGTTTGCAAGAGTGCGCAAGTAGCAGTGAACATGATTCGAAGCTTGGTGTACTGAGAATGTTCTGTCCGCTAACCCAACCAAAACTAGTGTGGTGCTCTTCACTAAAAGGAGAAAGTTGGATGTCCTTGTTCGCCCCACCCTTAATGGAGTCACTATTCAGACTTATTTCGAAGTAAAGTAATTAGATATAGTCCTGGATAGTAAACTTTTATGGAAATCTGACGTTGGACAAAAGATGTTCAAAGTTTTAACAGCTTTCTGGAAATGTAAACAAGTCTTTGGTAAAACGTGGGGTCTGCCCTCTAGAGAAATTCTGTGGATTTACACTCGATGATAAGCCCGATAATCAGCTATGCATCTGTGGGAAATCTGCTTGTCACACTTTAAAGAACGATCGTATAAGTGTGCTTTACGAGAACTTTTCCTACAACACCTGCTGCTACTCTGGATGCACTGCTAACGCGGACCATTTCGTCGTTTAAAGTACAAAACCGCGTATCATCATTCTGCAAATATTGGATTTGCTCGCACAAGTTCTTGGCTCAATCCTTATCCATTCGCCCTGAAATATACTATCCAGAAATGCCATTTCTTTATAAAAAAGAGAACCATTTTGAAATATGAGTATTTTTACTCTCTAGATTTATTCAACCTCACATACGCGGTTTTGCATTTTGTTGATACGCGGTTTGTACTTTAAACAACGATTTTAACTTATCTCTTGGGGAACATGTGTTCGTATTTTCAATCCTCAAGGTCATGGAGTACGTTGTGAAAAATAGGTGGAGAAGTAGGTGTTCACGTGTCTGTAGGAGCAGCCAAGCAACACTAAAGGCATTAGCCAGTCCTCTAACTACTTCTAAGCTAGTTCGGCAATGCAGGTCCCAATCTATTATTATTACTAATGACTGGGAGGTGTCGAGGGGCTCCAGCGGGTCTTGCTACGTATTTGCTTTCATTGAGCAGACCGGAGTGCAGACAACTTGTGGGACTGTTGACTGGTCGCTCCTCGTTGCATAAACACCTGATTGTGATAAGCATACATTCCCACGACAGCCGGTTCTACGTACCGGAATGACTCGGGTTTTACCCGACCAAGAGCTGTTGTTTGCCAACACCATCTGCTCCGTGCGCCAGAAAAGAGTACACCGGAACGTGACATCAGTCAAATGCAACACATGCCTTGGCTGGTGCCACTTCCGTCTATGCTCTGGCCTACGCACCACACGCGAGTGGTCAACAAATTTCAGCGCCCCCTGCTGCAGAGCACCACCGAAGCAAAAAACATCGCACCCACTGCAGTTACCCACCACTAGGCAGCAATATCAAATGCGTCGGTCGCAACAAGCCCAAGGTAGACCCCACACGTCCTGCACCTCTCGTATCGCGACCAGCCTCCCAAGGCTTACGAAACTCGTATAACTGAACTGCAACGGACTCCAGAGCAAGATTGAAGAGACAGTAGTCTTTATTGGTCGCCGTGGCATATTGTAAGCTGCGGTCCAAGAAACGAAGTTGCGCCGCCTACAATGTTCTCCGTAAATATCGCGAGCGATATAATGGTGGAGGTTTAGCGGTCATCGTACACCACACAGTGCAGTATCGGTTTCTCCAAGACATCGACCCGAGGTCGCATCACCCTAGAATGTCAGGGCATAGCTGTCCGGTCAGGCGATGTCGAGCTCGAAATATTTAACGTCTATATACCCCGTCACCTGCTGCCCGGCAGGATATCACCCTGACATAGGTGCGCTACTCAGAGGTGAAAACCAAATGGTAGTAGCTGACTTCAACGCGCACCACGATCTCTGGCACTCAAGCCTGGCCAATGATCGTAGGGGAAATCTTTTGGCTGAGCAGATAGACGATTCGACATTCTGCACCATGAACCACGATGCCCCACCAGGAATGTGGGTAGCTGCAGCAGCTCGCCAGACCTCACAATTGCTAGCGCTGGTCTGATCAATAGCATATCATGGCGACCTATTCTAACACTGCCCATAATCATCTCGATCAATAAGCCCACCGACTTTGCACCCGCGGACCACCGAACCTATACCAACTTTATCAAAGCTGATTGGAACGGCTTCGCGGAAGCTACCGCAGCTGTACTATCAAAAGAGCGTGACCACCTACGCCATGTCGATCCCGGGGACCATCGATTGAAGGACCTTGATTTGGAGATTCGGCAACTTGTAAATCAGCTCAAGCGGAAAAAGTGGGAAGAACACTTGAAGTCCTGTAACTTCGCCTCTGGTGTGATTAAACTCTGGTCAACCGTGAGGTCCTTGTCCAACCCGACGAAGCGCGTGGAAATTTCATTCGAAAGTCGCGCCTCGTCGCACCCGAAGAAATTCGCGAGCTACTTTAGCCGCCAATTTACACTGCATACTTCGGTAGACACCACCACTTTGCACCACTTGTTTTCACCACCGACGAAGTGAAGGTGGCCACCGGGAAGGCGAAATCCTCCAAAGCCATTTGACCCGACGGACTCTATATGCTGATGGTGGAACATTTGGAGCCCGCGGGAGTAGCATACCTAACGGAGGTCCTCAACCTGTCAATGGCCACTCTCAACATTCCTGATGTGTGAAAATCAGGGAGAGTGGTCACACTACTTTCGCCGGTCACGAAGACACGAGAGGCCCTGCTACTCCCCTACTTCACTTACTACCTGACCCCAGCGAAGTATCAGCATGGCTTCCGTAAAGTACACAGCACAACAACAGCACTTAACGCCATAAACACCCAAATAACTGGTGGACTAAACCGTTTGACACCTTCGGTCCCACAGGGACTCAAGCGGTGGACGGCGGATTATATGAGTGATCGACAGAGGTCAGTAATCTTCAGAGATCAAACCTCGAAACCTAGAAGAATAAAACAGGGGGTCCCACAAGGTGGCATTCTCTCCCCCTAACAGTTTAACTTCTACATCTAGAAGCTCCCTCAGCCGCCAGAGGGAGTTTTGCTGATCTCATACGCTGACGCGTATGTTGTGGAAAGAAAACATTTTTAGCTCTCATTTTTTAAGAAAAAATGGTATGTAGTGCTAACTTGACACCATACACCTAGTCGATAGAATTGAGATAT